CCTTCTTCAGGGGTCTGTTAGGACTACAAAACACCCTCCCTAGTTAGCCCACAGGGAGAACTTGGACCTGATTAGCAAGTTATCAGCTCACTGAATTTCTGGCAGGGTCACCGGGGTTTATATTTTTTGCACTTATTGAACAAAACACTTTCAGTGGGATATTTAACAGCCCAGAAGGGAGCAATGGAGGGAAGTTGACTGTTGGGGTGTACATGCCCTTTAAGTCATTCCATCCCCATAGCCGGAGAGGTGCGTGCTGCCCAGCTGGCGTTGGGTGTGATCCCAGCCTTGGTATGCTGTAGCCCGCTGTCTGCTTCCAGCTGAGACGGGAGATTGGAGCTGTTATGAGACAGAAGCGGCTCTGCCTACTATATGAATGTCCTTATTTAGTCAGCCTGTGAGGTGGAGCACTCGCTCTGCATTCCCCCAGCTTAGAGGACAAGGCACACAGAAGTCAATGCGATCCCTGCTGCATGTGCAATGACTTAGAGGAGCCCAGACCGGGACCCTTCCCTCCTGGATGTGGGGGTGTCATGCCCGGGGGTGAAGATGACCCCCCAGCAGAAGGCGCCTAGCAAGGACCTGGGGTCGTGGATTCAGGAAGGAGGCAAGGTCTGTACGGCATCTGCCGCGTTCTCTGTATTGCATTACGTTGGTGTGGTCAGACGGGGGATTAAAGGGCCACTCCGCATTGATGGCATCGCATGGCGGAGCGCAGCCTCTTGAAGTATCCATTATGTGGGGGATGTGGCGGTTTTGCTTGTTGCGATACACTGTGGATGGCTGCCTGGACTTTCCATTGGGGCAGGCTGAGTAGCTGCACAGGGGCCCTCTGGGACTAAGGGGCCCTTTTATACTAGCGATGGGTCAGGTGGGTGCTGGGACCCCTAGGGCTGTCAGCTGGAGGGGTCCATTTCTGGTTATGTCCTCATGGTTCTGTTAACCTGCTTCTGGTTGTGTCAGGGTGGTTCTGATTCTGTCCCTGTGAACCTGTTTCTGGTTGTGTCTGGATGGTTCTGATTCTGTCCCTGTGAACCTGTTTCTGTCAGGATGGTTCTGATTCTGTCCCTGTGAACCTGTTTCTGTTTGTGTCAGGGTGGTTCTGATTCTGTCCCTGTGAACCTGTTTCTGTTTGTGTCAGTGTGGTTCTGATTCTGTCCTTGTGAACCTGTTTCTGGTTGTGTCAGAATGGTTCTGATTCTGTCCCTGTGAACCTGTTTCTGGTTGTGTCAGGATGGTTCTGAATCTGTCCCTGTGAACCTGCTTCTGGTTGTGTCAGGATGGTTCTGAATCTGTCCCTGTGAACCTGCTTCTGGTTGTGTCAGGATGGTTCTGAATCTGTCCCTGTGAACCTGCTTCTGGTTGTGTCAGGATGGTTCTGAATCTGTCCCTGTGAACCTGCTTCTGGTTGTGTCAGGATGGTTCTGAATCTGTCCCTGTGAACCTGCTTCTGGTTGTGTCAGGATGGTTCTGAATCTGTCCCTGTGAACCTGCTTCTGGTTGTGTCAGGATGGTTCTGAATCTGTCCCTGTGAACCTGCTTCTGGTTGTGTCAGGATGGTTCTGAATCTGTCCCTGTGAACCTGCTTCTGGTTGTGTCAGGATGGTTCTGAATCTGTCCCTGTGAACCTGCTTCTGGTTGTGTCAGGATGGTTCTGAATCTGTCCCTGTGAACCTGCTTCTGGTTGTGTCAGGATGGTTCTGAATCTGTCCCTGTGAACCTGCTTCTGGTTGTGTCAGGATGGTTCTGAATCTGTCCCTGTGAACCTGCTTCTGGTTGTGTCAGGATGGTTCTGATTCTGTCCCTGTGAACCTGTTTCTCGTTGTGTCCTCATGGTTCTGAATCTGTCCCTGTGAATCTGTTTCTGGCTGTGTCCTCATGGTTCTGAATCTGTCCCTGTGAACCTGCTTCTGGTTGTGTCAGGATGGTTCTGATTCTGTCCCTGTGAAACTGTTTCTGGTTGTGTCTGGATGGTTCTGGTTCTGTCCATGTGAAAGTGTTTCTGGTTCTGTCAGGATGGTTCTGATTCTGTCCCTTTGAACCTGTTTCTGGTTGTGTCAGGATGGTTCTGATTCTGTCCCTGTGAACCTGTTTCTGGTTGTGTCAGGATGGTTCTGATTCTGTCCCTGTGAACCTGTTTCTGTTTGTGTCAGGATGGTTCTGATTCTGTCCCTGTGAACCTGTTTCTGGTTGTGTCTGGATGGTTCTGATTCTGTCCTTGTGAATCTGTTTCTGGTTGTGTCTGGATGGTTCTGATTATGTCCCTGTGAATCTGTTTCTGGTTGTGTCTGGATGGTTCTGATTCTGTCCCTGTGAATCTGTTTCTGGTTGTGTCTGGATGGTTCTGATTCTGTCCCTGTGAATCTGTTTCTGGTTGTGTCTGGATGGTTCTGATTATGTCCCTGTGAATCTGTTTCTGGTTGTGTCAGGATGGTTCTGATTATGTCCCTGTGAACCTGTTTCTGGTTGTGTCAGGATGGTTCTGATTCTGTCCCTGTGAACCTGTTTCTGGTTGTGTCAGGATTGTTCTGATTATGTCCCTGTAAACCTGCTTCTGGCTACGTCCTCATGGTTCTGATTCTGTTCATGTGAACCTGTTTCTGGCTATGTCAGTGTGGTTCTGATCCTGTCCCGGTGAACCTGTATCTGGCTGTGTCAGGATGGTTCTGATTATTTCCCTGTGAACCTGTTTATGGTTCTTTTAGGATGGTTCTGATTATGTTCTTGTGAACCTGTTTCTGGTTGTGTCCTCATGGTTCTGATTATGTTCTTGTGAACCTGTTTCTGGTTGTGTCCTCATGGTTCTGATTCTGTCCCTTTGAACCTGTTTCTGGTTGTGTCAGGATGGTTCTGATTCTGTCCCTTTGAACCTGTTTCTGGCTGTGTCCTCATGGTTCTGAATCTGTCCCGGTGAACCTGTTTCTGGTTGTGTCAGGATGGCTCTGATTCTGTCCCTGTGAACCTGTTTCTGGTTGTGTCCTCATGATTCTGGTACTGTTCCTCCGAACCTGTTTCTGGTTGTGTCAGGATGGTTCTGATCCTGTCCCTGTGATCCTGTTTCTGGTAGTGTCAGGATGGTTCTGATTCTGTCCCTGTGAATCTGTTTCTGGTTTTGCCCTCATGGTTCTGATTCTGTTCCTGTAAACCTGTTTCTGGTTGTGTCAGCATGGTTCTGATTCCTCCATGTTTGGGTCCTTAAAGGGAGCATAGCTTAACAACAATGTGGGTGGAGCCATTGCTAACTTGTGTTTTAAAGGCACAGGCCTCCGACCCAGATCAATGACGCCTCTCAGAACTGCTTACCACACTGGCTCTATACTTGTGACAGGTCATATACCTTTAAAAACAAGTTAGGTTGAACTCAATGGTCTCTAGTAACCTGACGATGTAACAATTTTTGTCTGATCGTGTTCCCCTTTAATCTGAACCCAAGAACAAAAATGTGACCTATTGCTGCTGCATCTATCATTCTCAGCAGTCAAGGTGGAGCAGGGCAGAAATGTCGGAGTTCGGGGGGTTGCAGGGTTTCATCTGTGCATGTTTCAGAAAATCGCCCCTCCTGAGCCTATTTATTTATTTTTTTCACACCAAATAAAATGATACAAAACAGTCAAAGTGACAGATCACTCCGGTGGGCTGTGCGGGCTCTCAGGTGGACTGTGTGGCATCTCAGGTGGCTGTGCAGCGTCTCAGGAGGGCGGTGTGGGCGCTAAGGTGGGCTGTGCAGGGTCTATGTTGTGCTGGGTCTCAGGTGGACTGTCTGGACTCTCAGATGGGCTGTGCAGCATCTCAGGTGGGCTGTGTGGGCTCTCAGGTGGGCTGTGCAGCATCTCAGGTGGACTGTGTTGGCTCTCAGTTGGGCTGTGCAGCATCTCAGGAGGTTGTGTAGCGTCTCAGGTGGGCTGTGCAGGCTCTCAGGTGGGCTGTGCAGCATCTCAGGTGGGCTGTGCAGCATCTCAGGTGGGCTTTGCAGCTTCTGAGGCGGCTGTGTGGCATCTCAGGTGGGGTGTGTGGCGTCTCAGGATGGCTGCGTGGGCACTAAGGTGGGCTGTGTGGGCGCTAAGGTGGCCTGTGCAGGGTCTCAGGTGGCCTGTGCTGGCTCTTAAGAGGCCTGTGCAGCAGGCTGGGGGAAGTGTATTAGCCAGCACACTATATCTAACTGTGTACAGACAACACGGCCCACATGGTGTGTACAGGGAGATGATCATCCACACAAGTGATCAGAGGAGGTCCACAGGCACACTGACCCCTGGTGACCCGGCAGGAACAGGGGGATTTTCACAGCAGCGGGGATGCGCCATTTTTGCAAATGCAGTGCACTACAATGCATTCCCCGTACTGGCGGGACTCTCCGGAGAATCCGGGACAGTTGGCTTGTATGCTGCTTTGATATCTCTCCTCCCCTCCCCCAGCTGCTGCATCCCTAAAGTGATCGCAATGGGACTCACTCAGCGACTGACTGAGGGAACCGCCCCTGAGGAGCCAGGCATACGCTACAAATGGCTCCTCTATTGAAGAGCGTTGTACTGGAGTCAATGGAGGCGGGAATGGGAAGTATAGTAGATACATTGTAACATTAGAAGATTGGTATCCCGGCAACCTAAACGTTGTTATTTCCTCTTGTATCCCCTCTGTGGATGTTCCCGGCACTGGAACAGCGTGAAGGTTCAGATATTTATTAGAATTCCTGAGCCGAAAATAGTGTTCATGGTATTACCAGAATGAATACACGTCTGTATCTCGCGGGTGACGGATACTTTGTAGGGAAAGACGAATCGAAAACCCCAAATCTCCGCATCAGAATTCTTCATTGGGAAGCTCCGGGGACTTGTATTGAAGTCACTGACCTCTATGTGTGTCTTCGAGGAGATGTCCGCCCTCACCGCGCTCCGTGTGTCAGAAACAAGGGACACTTTCTGAAATAAAATTAGATTTTAAGAGATAACAATTTTTTTAGACTTTGTTGCATCTCAGTGTTGCTGATCTCCTGCAGCCTTTTTGCAGCCATTTGTTGTCTACTCAGCAGCTCAGATCCCCATGCTCCTCCCTCCCTCCCTCCCAGCCCTGACCTGCCCTCTGTGTACATTAGGAGGCTAGAAGGCAGCGGGCTGATTGAAAGGAGGAGGAGCGGCTGAGCAACTGCAGGGGAAGTAGATCTAAGGTGCTGGTAGAGGGGAGCAGGGGGAGCTGAGCTGCTGAGTCGCTACTAGGAAGGGGGCTAAGTTGCTGAGAAACTGCTGAGAGGGGGGAGCTGAGTTGCTGAGTAACTGCTGAGAGGGGGGAGCCGAGTTGCTGAGTAACTGCTGAGAGGGGGGAGC